ACACTGGCGGAGGCAATGAGTCTTCTCAGCTGCTTTATTCTCCACTGAAGTCCGTGCCCGTTATGTTTCCTTTACTCCCAGGAGCTGCCACTGTCCTGCTTCCCAATAACCCCCCAAAACAATGGCAAACGCGCGTGCCAGGGGCAGGGCCTTCGCCCTTCTCCGCAGGCTTTCCCATTCAACCTCCTAGTGCAGCAGCTTCCCTTCTAAGGCTGGGGTGAACTACGGGCCTTTTTAGATATTTTCCAGGTTCATCATGGAGGCTGCTTTTCTTCTCTGCACTGTAACCACACTGAGCTGCAATTGAAATGAACAATCAGTAAGCAGTCACTTTCCTAGGGGAAGTCTTAGGTGAATTTTCCACACAGTGTAACCCGCCACAGCTTACAGTCATTGAACATCATCTTAGTGGAAAGGGCCTTGGAAGAGGTCGCCCTCTGTGCTCACTTCTGTTTCCCTCCTGAGACACTTAAAGTGCCTGCATAACACTAGACCAGCTGTGGGCAAACTACGGCCCGTTTGAAATGAATAAAATTAAAAAAAAAAAAGACCGTACCCTTTTATGTAATAATGTTTACTTTGAATTTACATTAGTTCACACAAACACTCCATCCATGCTTTTGTTCCGGCCCTCCGGTCCAGTTTAAGAACCCATTGTGGCCCTTGAGTCAAAAAGTTTGCCCACCCTTGCACTAGACACACAAGCCAAATACGACACCCACAGCTCAGTGACATCCCGGGAATTCCAAGACATATTCCACAGAGGGAGGAAGAACAGCCAGAGGAAAGGTAATCGGAAAAGTGGCTAAAACAGAAACAAAGTGTAAGCCAGCACACTGCAGGGCTGGTAATAAAGAGATGATAGTCATAGTAAGAAAAGTCCAACAGGAAAATAATCTTTATATTAATTGGAATTGATTAAAATATGGAATATACACATAGTAAAAAAACCTAACAGTGCAAAAAATAAAACGAACGGTATGACATAGCACAAAGGAAGTCTTCCCACTACTGTGCTATTTCCGCAGCCCTCCTTCCTGTTTCCAGTTCCTAAGCATCTTTCCTGAAATATTCTAAATGAGGGTATATGCATATATGTCCTCACCCCTTTTTATTTAGAAAATGATAAAGGATGATGCAGACTTTTCATCTTGTTTTTTTTTCTTGCTACAAGATCTACCTTAGAAATGCTTCCATATTATTTTCTTATTTTTGTTAATCCTCACCTAAGGATATTTTTCCATTGATTTTCAGAGAGAGCAGAAGGGAAGGGGAGAGGCAGAGAGAGAGAGAGAGAAACAATGATGATGTGAGAGAGACAAATTGATTGGTTCCGCATACGCCCCAACCAGGACTGGGGATGAGCCTGCAACCGAGGTACCTGCCCCTGACTGATACTGAACCCGGAACCCTTCAGTCGGCAGGCCGGTGCTCTATGCACTGAGCCAAACCAACTGGGGCGAAATGGTTTCATATTAGATCTACTTTATTCCTTAACAGCTGCTAACCCTCCCCTGCATGGATATTCTTTAATTTAGCTGGTTTTCTGTTGATGGGCATTTAGATATTTTTAATATTTTAAAAGGATAAGCAATGCTGCAATTAGGCTTCTTCATGCTTCCGTGTACAGCTGTGCCCAGAGGTAAAGGACCACCTGCAGAACATATTCTTAGGAATGCTGGTCCCAGGTTTTGTACACTCACAGCCTGAGAGATCCTGCCTAACCGGCTACCGCACCAACAGCCCTCACACCAATGATGTGGGAGCTGCAGCACTTCTTTGCTAACGCAGCCACTCCTTATATGCATCCACGACATTAGACTCTTGGTCATATACTTGTTGCACATACTTTCCTCAGTCCGTCATTAACTTCATGTAGAAATTGGAAATTTTACATCGTTACATTTACTGATTTCTTTCCTAGTTTCTAGGTTTTGTGTTCTGGCAGAGAAAGGCTGCACCGCCCTGATTTCTAAGACACGGCAGTCATGGTGCATGGTGACTTAGAACACGTGGCCACAGTACTGGCCGGGGAGGCGGTGGAGACAGGAAACCTGAGGAGCAGGGTCAGGACTGGCTGAGTCAGGACTGAGGGGCTCTCTCTGGACCCAGCACGGTGCTGGGCTGCACTGGTGAGTACAGACAATGAGGATCTCTCACCTCCATCACTGCGTTAAATATCAGGCCCTTAGCAGGATATCATTTCTATTAGCAGTTTCCAGTTTTGGGAGGAAAATGAAAAAATTAATTAGAAAGAATTCAGAGAAGGCAAAGATAAAGGTTTTAAAAAAACCTGAATATATGTCTCATAAAGAAAGTTTATAACTTGGACTCCCTTAAGGTGGAAAAAATACTAACTCCAGGGCATAAATTCCTTTTTGTGTATGGACATAAGGCTGTATGGTTACTTTCCATCTTTAAAGGAGAACAAAATAGGAGAAGAAAAGCTTAAGGAAAAATTTGTGAAGTGTTTACTGAAAAACATGAAAAAAAAAACAACCTCACAAAGAGCTAAACTCAGGGCAACTTTGCCATCTGAGTTTAACAGGAGGCTGCTCAGGTTTAACTGTCCGGAGGGAGATGCAGCCAGATGTCACCAGGGTGCGCCACAGCGAAGTTCTGTAACCGCACCCTTTTTACTACTGGACTCGAGGTAAGTGATTTTAAGCAGGCATTTTCTTTATCACATTCGTTAAAAAAGGCAAACTTGAAGCTATAAGGATTGTGATGTAAGAAATTTAATTTCTTATATATCTATCTACTTACCATTTAATGACTAAGTGCTTTGTATGTGTGAATTCCCTTCATCGTTCAATAACTCTAGTGGAGGCATTAGTATCCTATGCTGAGCAAGAAGAGCGCGAGGCGTAGAGAGGTGGAGGCGGCCCTAAGTCACATGGCTATGGAGGGACAGCAGGCTATTTGTCGACACCAAACACACGCTCCAGACACTGCCCCGCACACCCTGGCTCCTACTACCGTATAATCCACATGAATGGAGGAATTCTTGAGTAATTAAGTAGTCCATTACTTCATTATTCCATAAGAAATTAAACATATTTAATAAATATGTCAAGAGGGAGGGGACAGAAGGAGAAGGGCAAATTATGGCTGGATTTCATTTAAGTGTCACCTCATGGTCATACCAGAAGTAGATTTAAAAAGAAAATCTGTAAATATCACAAACATAAACTGAATTCAGTATTCAGAGTTGCTTTACTATGTATAAAATGGTGTAATATCTAAGAGTAATATTAATTTAAATTAAAATAGTACATTTATAGCCAAATATAACTAATAATGTATTAACTTGTTTTTTGTCTGCCTGCCTGCCTATCCATACCTATCTATCGATCTGCCTGTCCATCTATCTGCCTATCTATCTGAACTGTTTCCAGCCTATGTTTATATTCACTAAACTGATCTCATTTTGTTCCCAATAGGAGGGACTATTGCTTCTATTGTAGACAAATGGCTCATTTCCTAATGATGTGTGTGCATTATGGATAATTACCCCCTTATCAATATTTCATGAATGCATTTTCAAACTCTATTTCCCACTGGACTTTATATCATATTTTAGATTTATAGTCATATACAAATGTGCATTAAATGGAGTTAACCTATACACAAAGTAATTTTTTCCATTTAAAAACTACAATAAAAACAAAGTTAGTGCATTTGAAATAGTACATTCAGAGCAATGCTACCTACTTCTGAATCTGTCAGAAAACACCTGCCCAGTTCACACGCACAGCCTCTGGGGCAGGGCGTCCCTCGGACTTCCTGGGACAGAGAGTTCCACATTCATGCTGTCTGATGTGACGCATGGTCATTGAGCACCTGGTATCTGCTAGTCTGACTGCAGATTTATTTTAGTTTATTTCATTTTAATTAATTGGAGCAGCTGCTGGTGGCTAGTGTCTGTGAGGGGACAGAGTGGTTCCAGAGGTGGCAGTCAACTGCAGAGACTGATGTTTATTTCTGACTTTAAAGTTTACTTTCAACCCCAAATAATAGAGATTAATTTCAAATAGTTTAATCAGGTAAAAATAATCCTACTAGTTCTCTGGGGACTTCTGAGGAGCCTTTCTTAGCGCGACCCACCCGGACGGTTACTGTCACCGGCAGTGAGGCACTCCCTACCTGCTGAGAAGCGGACGCGGCTCTCTGCTCCGCCTGACTGAGCCGCCTCTGGAGTCTGTTGGCTTTTTCTTGATGCTCGAGAATTAACTTTTCACTCTGTGAAGAGGAAACATAAAACAAATGGGTTAGAGATCCACGCGTGACATAGAGGCATTTGTGGAATAATCAATGGGAAATCTGGACCTCATCTGATCACTATAAAATGCAAAGATAGTGTCTCCAAATGTACATTTTTCAAGTTACGAAATTCAAAGCTGGTTGTACATCCTCACTAAACCGTTTTACCCCTCCATGTCAACAAAAAAGTGGATTAAGTGCAAAGCAAAAAGAATCAGAAGTTGAGAACAGGATTTTCAGTTTTTGATCTGTTAACCTTGAGATGCTAGCTCAGTGCTTCCAGTGTGGGGAGTGTGGAAACACAGACTGCTGGGCCTCCCACCTGGACCTGCTCCCAACCTGAGAATCCTTGTGTCTACCATGTTCCCAGCAGGCGCGGGCACTGCCTGCTGGGGTCCTCAGAGCCACTGTGCTAGGACCAACTTCCAGGGCAGCGGTTCTCAACCTGTGGGTTGTGACCCCTTTGGGGATCGAACGACCCTT